AAAGCATCTGTTTCAACTAGAATGTTGAATCTTTCTTCTCTTCGCGTTCTATTTTCGTATACTTTCAGTACTTTCAACTCCTTTCACAAGAACTCATCATTTTGCTTAGTTAGACATTCTATTATGCGATCATTATTTATTTTTTCGGTTAACCCAATTATTTTCAGCATCTTTTTTATTTCATCTTTTCCTTTAGCTTTCTGGGCCTGGAACTCCGTTCCAATACTATCTCTTATTTTTTGATGCACTTTTTCGCAAGTATCTTTATTTTTACATTCTAAAACTATTCCCCCTCTATTAATTTCTTTCACAGTCTTAACCAGACCATCGGTGGGTTCGATTACCTTTTTCAACGCCTCTTTTGTTTCCTTGACGTTTTTGTTTTTTGGTTTAAGGGCTTTATAGCAATTTTATTTTCATTTGTTTTGACAGCTTGGGCATATGATATTGGGGCATTTTCCTTACTAATTACAGGCTGTATGTTTTTTACCAAGTCATTACATTTTTGCAGTTCACTAGAAATTTCCTTAATGATTTAATTTTTCATAGCATTAATTCTCACTCCAATGTTATGTTCCAGAAATGTATTACAATCTGAAACAATACTCGTTTCTATTTCCGTACATTTGTTGTTAATCAGTTGCTCCAAAACTTGAGGTAATAGTCTAAGCGAATTCATAGAAAACTCAATTTAGAGCATGCCCAGACGTATGAAAATTGCTAATAAAAGCCATGGACTATCCACAAGAAAGATTTTTACAGAAACGTTTGCGAAATAGAAAATATTTACAGTGAAACCCGCTGAAGTACCCCCCGCTTAAGTACCTAACCAGCTTAAGTAGCCAACATTTTCGGGCAATAAGAATTTTTGAATGTAATCTGAAGAAAATCCCTCTCTTAAGTACCTTCCCGCTTATTTACCCAACCCTCCTAAGTGCCTAAATTTTTCGTACCCCATTTACCACTTTATCTATAATTTTCCCCTTTTAAGTGCTCTTTTAAAATTCCTTAAAATATTTACACACTTTCGGCAAAAAATTATAAAAAATCAACGGTAATTTTTAGCCACTTGAAACTAGCCCATTGTTACACAAAAATTTAATGGGCTATAATACTGTACTGGAGTGCCAGTTACTGTCGAAATTCGACAGTTTTTCTAGTTTTAGAAGCCTTGGAGAGGTTTTCTAACTCAACACGTAGAAAAACTTATACGGTACAAATTAACTAACCGGAAAATCTTCTGCTAAAACGTAACTAAATTTTTTTTTATCTGAGAAGGTCTTTGGAGAACTTCGGCAGGACTTGGAATTGACCCGATACATTCAAGTTTATCGATAAATTTCAATGATTTGATACATATCGATAGTTCGATGAATTTCAAGAAGACTGCAATTCGATAACTCAACAAAATTCGTTAACTCGACTAATTTCGATAACTGTGAAATTCGATGGCTCGATAAATTTCGATAACTCAAAAATGTAAAAACTTTGGATACCTTTATAAATTTTTACTTTTGACATCTCCACATTTTTCGAAAACTATCTAAACATTTTGGTAACTCGTTATACTCTGTTAGGACGATTAAATTCGATAAGCAGTGATAAATCGATAAGCTTATATAACCTTGAAATTTCGATAAATCGATATATTTTGAAAATTCCATAAACTTCGCTTCGTTGAACCAACCAATTTCAGATCAATAATTATCGATAACTCTGTAAGTGGAAAGAACTCCATGCATTACGACACCTCGATAAATTTTGTTAAGTCTAAAATAATGATAATTGAATAAATATCGATAAATTGATACATTTCTTTAACTTGACAAATTTCGTTAATCCCACACGTTTTTATAGCTCGATAACTATCCGTAAATTTGGACAACTAAGTTTGTGTGTCTATAAATTTCGACAACTCAATAAATATTGATCAGTTTGAATAATTCGATACGTTGCGATAACTTAATAAGCATGGATAAATTTCGATAATAACAAACTTCGATGATTCGATAAATTGAAGTAACCTTTATGGCTGATTTAATTTCAATTCCTATCGGAAAATTTCAACTCTGTTAACCTAATTCTTATGTATTTCTCATTATCTCCATTTTCGTCTTTATCTTCACTTTTGCCTTTTTTTTTGTCTTCATCGTTATCACTTGTTTCTTCACCTTCATATTTATCTTTATTTCAAAGTTTAATTTCAAATACAAACATATACAAATATGTAAATTTTTAAACGACGATTTTCAACCAATTTCGAAACTATAGAAACTATCCTCATCTACAGAAAATTACCTTTCCAATGGTGTTTTTGGTTTTTAAATCGGTAACTTTACCTTGGTCTTCATCTTTGTTTTTATCTTTCACATCTTTGCTTTTATCCTTTTCTTTTTCTATTCACGTAGACGAGATGAGGTGCGATGACGCGATAAGATGTGACGTGATTTTATGTGATGTGATAGGATGTCATGTCATGTGTTGTCATATCCTCTGATGTCATACCATATGATGTCATACCATATGATGTCATATCATGTGATGCCACGTTATGTAATGCCATGTCATGTCATACGATGCCATATCATGTGATGTCAAGTCATGTGATGCCATGCCATATAATGTGATGTCATATCATATAATGTCATGTCACGTGATATCGTGAGATGTGATATCATATTATATGATGTAATATCATGTGATGTCCATTCATATCATGTAATAAAATGTTATGTGATGTCATGTAATGTGATCACATTCCATGTTCCGATTAGTATATCGATAACCCTGTTGATAACTTTGTCGATAAAAATACCGATAACAATATCCATAAACATATAGAAAAATACAAAAACTGCAAAAGCGATTAATTCATCGATAAATATAACAGTCATCAGTATCGATTATTGTACATATCTTTAACAATATAAATGACTAAATCGATCAAAAAATCAATTATTTAATCGATTATTATACCGATTACAATATCCATTATTGTATCGATAACAATATCGATTATTATATTGATTATTATATCGATTACAATAGCGGTTATTTAATCAATAACACTCGGTAACAATATCGATTATTTTATCGATAACAATATCGATTATTATATCGTGAAAAATATCGAGTTTTATATCGATCTTCATCCTCATCCTTTTCTTCATGTTTATCTTTATTTTTGCATATTCCTCTTCACCATTACCTTAAAGTGGTTAGATTTACTTTGATCTTCGTTTTGCCTGTACCTCTAGGCATCTTTGTTTTTGTTTTTATTCTCAAACCGCTAAACCGCTGAGAACCATTTCCATGTGCATTATTCCCCTTGAATTTGACAATTTACTCCCAACCAACCAACTACCGCTAAAGCAGTTTCACTTCATAAATTCAGTTACCCTACTTCTTATGTATCTGTCATTGTCTCCATTTTCGTCTTTATTTTCACTTTTGCCTTCTTTTTTTGACTTCATCTTCGTTCATTTATTTCTTCATCTTCATATTTATCTTTATTTCTAAGCTTAATTTCAAATCTGTAGTGAAACAACAGGCGAAACATGTCAAATTGAACATGTTGCAGCAACATGTATACACAATTCGAAAATGTTTAAACGACGGTTTTGGCCGTAATTTTCAATCAATTGTAAAACTATAAAAACTCTGCCTTTCCAACGGTGTTCTTGGTTTTGAAATCGGTTCGGTAGAATCGCCAAACGAACGGAGACAAAATTTATGTTAGCGTATTAATATATAGATTATCAAAAAACACTTCAGAGAAAAAAATGTTTAATTTTGGGTGAATTTTTTTCTTTAAGTGTGTATAAAATCTGAAGCTTAGGTTTATATGGTATTTGTTAGGGAATTAACTGCATTTTAATTGAAAAATCTTAAATAATGCTACGGTCTTAAACTCCGTATACTTCATTAAATGTTTTATTCAAGGATTTACATATTTATGTAAGCTAACAAAAAGATGTAACTACATCAATAATTATGTTCGCTTAAGTACCTCAAAAAGCTGACAGTTTTCGTGTGGTACTTAAGCGGGTTTTACTGTACTTTTGTACTCACATTCATTTGTTTCCCAAAGAATTCCGGTTGCATTCCTTAATTCTAGGTACAAATGCAAACCATATCTTGCCATGATAATTCTAAAAATTCATAAGAAAACTTTGAAAACGATTGCATTCCTTCATTTTAGGTACAAATGCATATCATATCTTGCCATGGTAATTCAAAAATTCAAAAGAAATCTTTGCAAAACGGTTGCATTCCTTCATTTTAGGTACAAATGCATATCATATCTTGCCATGGTAATTCAAAAATTCAAAAGAAATCTTTGCAAAACGGTTGCATTCCTTCATTTTAGGTAAAAATGCAAATCATCTCTTGCCATGATAATTCCAAAATTCAAAATAAAACTTTGAAATACGGTTGCATTCCTTCATTTTAGGTAAAAATTCAAATCACCTCTTGCCATGATAATTCAAAAATTTAAAAGAAAACTTTGAAAAACGTTGCATTCCTTCATTTTAGGTAAAAATTACATAGGAATATATTTGGGTCCAGCCAGACCTATGTGTTACGAATGTGAAGTATTAACCAACATGTCTATATATCTAGCTTTATATACATAAATGATACCAACATGACTTTTTTAAAGATTGGTAATTCACTAAACTTTAGAAAGCTACCTGAAATTTCAAGCCTCTAGCTATATTTAAAGTGCCATTTTTTGTAATTTGAAAATGGAAAAGGCCTGGCTGGGCTCATGTGTCAGACGAAGGGTTAATATTCTTATAATTTTTCGGCAACCTCAGGGCTGCATATCGACTAGCAGAAGCCATTCTGTTGTCTAAATATAAAGTGGTTCACTCATAAAATAAATTATCTTGCTTAAAGTGGTATTGCAAAGGCAAGATAATTTATTTTATGAGTGAATGTCGTTATTGCCTGTTCTTGGCTATGGAGAAGTGTTATTAAATTCATTTAAGTCTTACCTGCCAACAATGAGTTGAATATTACGGCTGGAAAATAATGATGAAAATAAAGGACACGACCCATTGTCCAGAATGGAACATAGTGAGTAGTCCATCCCATAAAAAACACAGTGGCTGCTTTCACATATGTCCTTTGCATTTCTACAGTCTCTGTAAAATAAAAAACAAAGAAGTAAATACATATGTACTTTAAGGTGACCATATGTGAAAAGAGCATATTCGGGCAGATCACAATTACATTGAAATATTAAGTTGTACTTGTACTTAGGGCTGCCGTATTTCTCTGTTGCCAAACCGGGACACTGTGGTAAATCTAATAGCGTTTTCTATTCTCAAAAAAAGTTCTCCCCTTTTATATGGGAACTCTTGCTTTGCGTTGCCCTGAAACCTGAGAAAATGTTGCGTTCTTAACATGAGAATGAAAGAGAAAATATACTACTCCATCACAATTTATTTATAGAACTTAATAAAGCTTAATTATTCACTTGGCCTGTAAGTCTTTAACAATTTTAAAGCAACCCATTATTTCTGGTAGGGAAAATATTTGCATTTTTACAAGAATAAATTAAAAATCAACCATGCAACTCTCACAATCACGTTTATTTGAGGGCAGAAAAGGCAGCACTTTCGCCGGATAAGAGCGCAACCTGCTGAGAAAAGAACACGACGCCTTGTGTCAGGGCTGAGAAAAGAACATGAAAATGTGCCAGCGCTAACACAAGGCAGAATAAGTGCAGCCTTTTTTCGAGAAAAGAAAACGCTATAACACAACAATTATGACTACTAGGTATGGCCAAGGTGTATTAAAAAAGGTGGGGTTGACAACTCAGTGAGGCTCTCTTTTAAGGTATTATAACGTCAAAAAACAAATGAAACAAATCAACGAAAAATTACACTGAAGATGGCACAACGCCGAAACCGGATTGTCTGCAAACCAATCTTGACAAGGGATGACGGTAATTCGTTCTAAAATAAATCATAAACAAATGACGCACTCTTCTGTGCAAGCGGAAAGGAATTTCTACTTTCTTTCTTTCTTTGGCATTTTTATGTTCTATAAAGTTTGTCGCGAAAACTTACATTGGAAGTAAAGCACGCACGAAAAACAAACGAGCAAAACAAATAAATAAAATTATAGTTTAAAAAAGTAAAACCTCCCTATTACCATTGCCATTCGTACTGTCATCAGGTATGTAACTTGAGAATAGAAATCGGTGCATCTTTTAGGCGCATCAATATTACATAGTTACATCCCGAGCTATTAAAGGAAGGTAAAAAATAGCTGATGCTAATAAGAAAGGGCAGTTTGCACACTCTAAAAAGTGCATGTAGAACTACTACTGAAAAGTGCCTATTTTTCCAACAGAATCTATGTAAATATACGCATAAGATGTTCAAGATTTGATTTTGAACATTCGATGTTTAAAATATATACATAGATGTACATATGATATGTTTAAAATTGCAAAAATTTTGAAAGTAAAAACACATTTTCTACTAATAATAGACATGAACTGACATTTACTCAATTTTCAACATTTTAAGTGTAATTTTGCTCCACGCGATAAATTTGGCAAGTAAAAGTAAACTGACAGTGTTTGATTTTGCACACATTAGGAGGGGAATCTGGTTAACTCTCTTCAAAAGCGTAAATTTAAATAAAAAAAAATTTTTAAGCAAATTTATACATTTGGTGTGTAAACTGTGAAATTGTGAACATTAAGTGTTTAGAATTCAATAAACATACATATTTTAAATTTGTTCTACGCTAAACATATGATAAGCACAAGTAAACAAGCAGTGTTTAATTTAGTTAACACAGTGTGTAAATATTCACTGGTAACTGGAAACTGGTTACCTATCTTAATATGCGCAAATTTAAACTCAAATTTTTTAGAGTGTATATCGATCATCAAATATTGCTTGCGCAGAGTCCAACTATGTGGACATGTAACTATTTCACAAAGGACACCGGTAGTGATTTTTGAACTTATTAAAATTAGGGCATATAAATTGAAAACCGGGACACTTAAACGAAACCCGGGAAATTTTAAGGTTGGACCGGGACACTGGGAGAAATAGTCTAAAACCGGGATATGTCCAGGAAACCGTCTGGCAGCCCTACTTGTACTATTACTTTTGATACTTATAATATCTTTTTTGAATTTTTCAAATGAATTTCTATGAACATACAACGTATTGTGACATAATGCTTATCTATACTAATTATATAAAGAGAAGTCCCTTTTTTTGTAACAGGTAATCTCGCGAACGGCTGGTCAGATTTTCATGAAATTTTGTATACAAATAGCTTTCGGTAACCACCATGTTTTCGGCAAAAAAAATTTTTACTTTTTTCGGGTAGGTGGACCAGGAACCGGTCTATTCGAAAAAATCTTATTATAGTCCGATTTGCTTCAAATTTAGTACGTAAGTAGCTTTTTAGCATATATTAGCATACATGACCCATTTTTTCCGGGAAGTGGTCAGGGACCGATCTATTCGAAAAAATCGAGTTTACGGTCCGATTTGCTTAAAATTCGGTGCGCAGGTAGCTTTTTAGCATGTATTAGCATATGGGATCAATTTTTTCAGAGAAGTGGACCAGGGACCGGTCTATTCCAAAAAAATCGTATTTACGGTCCGATTTGCTTAAAATTCGGTACGTAGGTAGCATTTTAGCATATATGATCCATTTTGTCCGAGAAGTGGACCAGGGACCGATCTGTTCGAAGAAATCGTATTTATGGTCCGATTTGCTTAAAATTCGGTACATAGGTAGCTTTTTGCCTGGATAAGCTTATAGATTCCTGTTTTCCAATTTTCATGCAATTTCGAATATAAATAGCTTTAAGTAACGACCATATCAAGTCAAAATATAATTAAAATATATAATATATCTCAACTAATATTTACTTAGAAAGCCGTTTGATAGTTTTCGCAAGGCTCGAGAGCGGCTGAACCGATTTTTTTGAAACTGCCACCTGCCGCACGTGTCCCAAGGATGGTTTTAGGCTGAAAAAAATCCATATGTAAAGGGGGCGTTGCACTTCCCATACAAACCGAATTTCTCATGCTACATATCTCTGAAAGTGTGCATGGTAGAGTTTTGGAAATTGGTATGGAGATATACGAATTCAATCGCATACCCTTGGAGAAAATTTTTAGCTATTGTAAAAAGGGGTGTGACATCTCCCATACAAACCGAATTTTTCATACTGCTTATCTCTGGAAATTTTTTGGTAGAGTTCTAGAGTTTTGTATGGATATGTACGAAATAAATCCCATACTCTTGGAGAAAAATTGGAACTATTGGAAAAGGGGGCGTGGCAACTTCTATACAAACCGAATTTTTAATACTGCCTATCTTTGGAAGTGTTCATGGCAGAGTTCTGAAACTTGGTGTGGAGATATACGAAATCAATCGCATACTCATGAAAAAAGAGGGCAGCTGTTGGAAAGGGGGGCGTGGCTCCTCCCATATAAATCGAATTTTTTACTGCATATCTCTGAAAGTATTCATGGTACAGTACTGGAACTTCGTATGGAGATATGTATATAGTTGAAATCAAGCCCATACTCATGGAGAAAATTTGGGCTATAGTTGAGTTATTACTAAAAATCTTATTTATGATCCGATTTGGCTAATGTTTTAAATATGTATGCAATACTATTGCAAAAACGTGCTGCCAAGTGGTGCTGAAGTCGAGCTATTACTAAAAATAGCCAAGTGAGAAAAGGGTGCCAATGAAAATCGTAAACGTGAATTGTTGGTGAAAATGTTGGACCAAAAAGTTTCAATAAAATATATAAAAGTTTTGGGCGGGACGAAGTTCGCCGGGTCTGCTAGTAATCTATAAAGCTAGTAGATCGCAAACCACAGCCAGTAACACTTGTTTAATTTTCGCTATAGCTAAGAACTTGCCGAAGTTTGTAGTCTCGAGCATTTTGTACGTTTTCTTTTAAAAGTATCTATCAAAAGCAGCAAAAACTCTAGCTGCAACATTGCCGCCCGAGCAGGGACCTGTTTTCGCGATTTATCTTCTATATATATATCTATACTATTATATAAAATTGATTATATGGAGTACGTTTTTAACGATTTATTTCTCAAAGTACTAAACCGATTTTAATATTTTTTTTTTTTAAACGAAGCATTTGTAAAAAGACGCAGAGTGGCATACTTATATTTTTTATTCTTGAAAGATAAGCACCCTTTTTTTGGGTGTAAAGTTACAAAAAATTACAAAGCCGTACAAGCATAAGCCGATTTGGTTGCTAAATACAGCGCATAGCTACGCGAAAAATCTGTACATCAGTGCCGATCAAACACGAGCTCACAAAGGCAAAAGAGATGTGTATCAGCGACGTTACTGCGCTATACCACATACATACACACATAAACGTGTTTATTTATTTATTTATTTATTTCAGTCAATTGAACAATAAATTCTTACTGACTATAATTCAGAGGTACTTAAAACTAGTTAAAATAGTTGTATAATAAAGTACGAACTACTCCACAAGATAGAGACGGGTCAAAAGTTGGAATATTTTTCAGCTCCACTAAGGTTCTAATCAAGGGAGCATACATTGCATAGTT